TTCAGCGAGAGCGGGATCAACAAGCCCTGTGCTATCACACAGCGGCGCAGTCAGTCAGTGAGCGCCGTAACAGATGACGTCTATAAATAAACTACACAGAACCCCACTATTCGGACAAATATACATAATGAAAAGATGATACAAAATTTAATACCTTGGAAAATGGCATTTAAGACTTTTTAATACTTTTTAAGGGCCTTAATGTTCTCTAAATTGATTTATCACCTTTTAATACTTTTTAAGACCCCGCAGACACCCTGTACATGGAGCAGACTCAAGTTAATCTACATATGAAAAACAAAGCCCTTGTAGGTTTGTGTTGAGATTCTGAAGGCTGAAAATATCAAGTGACCTCTAGTCACTACTGTATGTTTATTATTAATAATATAAGATCAATTTAGATCTCTAGGATTTTTAGGCTCTTTACTTACAAGTTTTCATTGTGACAAATTATCATATAGATAACAAAAGATCAAAGTGTGTTCAGTGAATTAAGTCTTTTCTTTGCCAAATATTGTGTTGATACAGACATTCAAAACTGAAAGTGTGACAAATATCCACAGTCTATTCTAAATTCACGACCAAATTAAACAGTCATGCTGTTTAGTATTCCATTAAAACCTGGTATATGGTGCATCTAAAAATGAACTCACTGTTGTAACAGATGAAATGTCGGGTATTACTACATGGTATATCATGCCACTGTCCATTGAACATCATAGCACAATAACTGCCTTCTGGTTGTCCAGTTCCCCAGTTCAGATAGAGTACAGGTTCACCTGAAGACCACTGCCATTCATCACGACCCGTCCTCTGCAGCCCAATCCAGACAAACCGAAAACCTCCACCGTTCACACATCACGACCCGTCTTCTGCAGCCCGATCCAGACAAACTCAACACCTTCATCATTCACACTCTTCTTCAGCTCGTTCATGTCGTTCATGTTGTCAACGGTGGCCAGATCTGTGTAATTCTCTCTGCAGTATCTCTGAGCTTCAGTCCAGTTCTTGTTCTCATTTATAAAGTGATACTGACACTGAACACATTCAGACACGGAGCAGAGAGCTGTGAAAGAGAGGTTTGATCCTGTTCTGAAAAGCATTAAATCAAAGCCTAATGAAACTAAATAAAACCTCAAACACACTCACCAATGAGAAGAAGAGTGAAATACAAAGTCTGGTCCATTTCTAAGGAAGAAAAATATAGATAAATATTCACATTTTGGTGTGAAACATGATTTCAGTGATAATTAAAAACAGAAACATACATGCACCGTACACAATGATTAAGACAATTTTAACACATCAGAAGTCTAATTCTGGTTAAAGAATGAACATGTGAGTTGTTCTTACTTTAGAGGTCGTGTGTCTCTGTCCTGAGTCTGATGTTTCTGTCTGCAGCTTCAGACTGTGTGATTAATATATCTGCTCTCATCCGTCATTCAGCACGTCACTTTATTTGTATATTACTCAAAACAAAAGCCCTTTACATTTTTCTTCCTCGTTCTCACATGTCCACATTTTACTCTGTGTTGGTATAGAACTGGAGGGCCAGAGCCCTGCAGAGTTTTGTTCCAACCCTGCTCCAAAACACATCCCAGGTAGTTTTCAAATAAGCCTGAAGGACTTGATTAGTTGAATCAGGTGTGTTTAATTAGGGTTGAAT